GGCGAAAATAGCGAAAAACCTTCCGTCGTGTTTCTTTCACGACGCGAGTCTGGGCAGGTCGGACAGACTTAGGCCGCGCTGCCAAGGCATGCCAGTGGCGGAGACTCGCCTCACAGCCAGGACGTATTACTACACGACTGAGGAGGAGGAGGAGACTGAGCAGGAAGAGGAGGATGAGGACGAGGAGGAGGAGCAGGAGGAGGAGCAGGAGGAGGAGGAGGAGTATGAGGGGGAGGATGAGCAGGAGGTGGAGGAGCAGGAGGAGGAGGAGCAGGAGCAGGAGGAGCAGGAGGAGGAGAAGGAGCAGGAGGAGAGGCGACCGCGAGCCCCTCGAGAGCCACCGAGGAGGAGCCGACTGACCTGCCGACTGCGCGGGCCGCGCCGCGCAGGCTGCCCCGAGCACCGACATGCGTACCCGACGCCACTGAGGCATTGCGGTGGCCAGATAAGTTCGGGGGCGGCCAAGAGGGGGGCTGCCAAGAGGGGGGGGCGCAAATCATGGTCGGCGGCACGTGCGCGGCCAAAGGGGGGGCCAAGGGCGTAATGGAATCTAAGAAGAGGCGTCATGAGATCTGGGGAAATATCATGGCCCACGCCATGATAGCCAACACCCCTTAGTCATCACTCCCCTCTTTGCCACCTCCGATCCGATAAATCCACTCACCAAGGCCAGATGGCAGACGACCGGTCCAAAGTGCAACATTTTCATTATCCCAAGCGCAACAATGTGCAATGACAAAGCGCGCCGAAAGGCTTAAGACCGTGCAGCACACACATATGTATATGTGTGTATATATATAGATTTATAGATGTGTAAACATATAAGAATATATGGTCAAACTGGCTGTAGCAGCACCGTGCTGCAGCGCAAACGCCACGAGACCGAGAAACTCGTGCACAGACGTGTCTCCCGTCCACTCGCCATCGCTCGGACGTCCATTCCCTCTGTTTTTTGTTCGGCTTCGTGCGAGGTTTTCTCGCCAAATGATCAAGGATGCTCCTCGATGGTCCTCGCCGAAGGAAAAATGCACACGTCCGAGCGATGCCAAGGCCCAGTTGCCGAAGCGACGAAGACGTAAACGACCGACGTGTGGTGCCCGACGAGCCGTAGGCCCCGTGAGCCGTGTTGCCGCCCACGTGCCGCACGGCCTGCCCGAGAGCACCGCCAGGCGCACCGGACGCCACTGGGAGCCCTGCGGTGGCTCGATCTTGCCACTCGTCGAGGCCAGATGTCAAGGGGCCCCAGGACACACAAATAAATACACACAGATGAAAAGATCCCTCTAGTTTCCTGTAGTTTCTGGGTTTCTGTCTTCCCCCCCACTTCCCACATTTTCCCATCTTTTCTGGGGAATCGAGGATTATAATTGTGTCTGTGTGTTTCTTCCTCTCCTGAAGATGGCAGGCGATCGTTCCCAAGTGCGACACCTGAATTACACAGCGCGCCAAGAGGCTGCGACCGTGCCGTATGTGTCCACACTGCGCTAGTGGAACCTGCGCTGCAGCGCTAGTGGAACCTGCGCTGGCCACAAGAATTCGGCATCGGGAGAAGAGGCAGCAGGCTTGCTGACCAGGAGACGACCGAGGCGGACCTGGATGCAGTCTTGGATGCCCTTAAGTTACGGCGGACGCTAGCAAGCAGCAAATAGCAGTTCGTGCGAACACACAGGCTTGGAAAAACGCAAAGAGAGGGACAACAACATGGAACGACCAGCTAAGATGTGCGGCCACTGCCGGACTTGTTGCTTAAACTGCGCGGCCCAACAAGCGTGTTCAGTTCTCACGCGTGAGCTCAACGGACAGATCCACTGAGCAGGCCTGAAAAATAACAGTGTCGCCCTTTGCAGGGGTGCGCACTTAGGCGGCAGGGCTTCTCAGAAAGCCTCGAGCCTTCTGAGAAGTTCTCTGTTTCCTCGGGGAAGGCTTAGAACACTTCTCAGAATGCCCGAGGCCTTCCGAGCCCTTTGAGAAGGCCCGCCCCCATCTCACTTCCCTTCTGGGCCCGCTACTCAACAGTTTACCGAAGAAGCGGCGTGGACCGTGGACGTGTGGTGCGGGAAGTATTGCCTCCTTGAGCGCCCTTCCCCCTTCCCTCCGTCTCCCTCGAAAGCGCAGTCGTGCGCTGGGAGGAGGTGATCCGGAGAAACAGGAGGAGGTGGGAGGAGGAATAGTAACGCAAACAAATGCACACGACGTATAATATTCCCCAGATTAAATGTTTTCCCACATGTTCCTCAGAACCGACGTTTGTTTGTGTCAGTGCAGTGTTTTCCTCTTGAAAGAACAAAGAAGATGGACAAGTACGCCACGAATCTCAGACACAGGCACCCGCCGACGCGATGTCTCTGCCTTCACGGAGGGCGGCGCCGCATAAATGCCGCTGGCCCTGAGCGGTAACTCGCATGCACCGCCACCTTCCCCCTGAGGCCCACGAACAATCCGCCAGAGGCATCTGCATGTAGATTTAGGTCGGGTATGTCCTCCGATTGGCGGATTGTGGACGAAGCATGAAGAATAGTCAGAAAATGACCAAACATGGTCGAAATAGGAAAAACCGTCCCCCAACTATGTTCGACTATTTTGGAATACTCCTCCTGAAGAGGGACTCGCCCGGCTGAAGTATAGACATGTGGCAAGAGAATGCGGAGGGAGGAGACGGGACGCGCAGAAGGGCAGCAAAAGCAGCTGGAGGCCTCCGCGAAGGCCCTCCGGCGACCCCCCGCCATGGAGCCTCGGGATCAGGCCCCGCGTCAACGGCCAGGCTTAGGTCGGGCACGTCCCCCTACAGGCAGATGTTGGAGGACAAATGTTTAAAATAGTTTTCATTTGTTTTTAAAAACAAAAAAGAATAATAAAAAAACGTCGTTCATTTCTACTCTCGCTCATTTCTACTTGTGCTAGTTTCTAAGTGTTGTTGATCCCCAAGTGGTCAGGAAGAGGCCGAGGAAAGGACAATTAGAAATGAACCATGGGTTTTCAAACATGGTCAACAAATAATCGAACAGTCGTCCCCAGACTATTGTTGTTTCAATTCTTGATACTCCTCCTGTCGAGGGGCATGTCCGACTGGAGGCCAGGCCCGCGGAGGGCAACCCCGAGGCCCAGCGGACATCAGAATCATGCTGCTGGCCTCCGTCGAGCTGCCAGGTGGCCCGAAGCTCGTCCCTCTGGCGGATGCCCGGGTGGCGGTGCTGGTCTCCGTCGTGCCGCCCAGGGACCCCGTTGAGCATCGTTTAACCGATCCCCATTCCCATCGGCGTGGCGTGGCCTGGGCCCCACTGGCCGATTTACCCCCCAAGATGGGGATGTAGGCCGTTCCCTTCGGGTTTCGAGGGGCATATCCCCTAACTGGGGTGGCAACTTGGTGGGGGCCTCGAAGGAGATGAGGCTGGGGATGGGGGTCGGTGAAACGATACCGACTCGTGACTCTGCTCGGTCTCGCTCCGTGGACGCCGGGGTCTTGGTGCCGGACTCCGTCGTGCTGCTGCGTGCCGCGGTGGCCGGACGGCTGGCGCCGCCCTGGGCGGTCCTCGCCCTGGCAGGTCGTGCTCCCGTGTGTGTGCGCCCGGACAGCTGCACCGCGAGCCCGAGGGCGGCTCCGTGCCCGCGCCGGTAGAGGCAGGGCGAAGAACACCACGTTGGCCTCGGCCTCGGCCTCGGCCTCGGCCTCGGCATCGATGTCGTCGTCGTCGTCTTCGCCATCGTCGCCGCCATCGCGATCGTCATCGTCCCCGACCGCCATCGCCGTCGCCGTCGCCGTCGCCGTCGGCGTCGCCGTCGTCGTCGTCGTCGTCGTCGCCGTCAGCGGTGGCCTCGGCATCGTGCACGCAGCCGCACGCCGCCGAGGGCACCAGGGAGCTGCCCACGCGTGCCGCTGCCCTGGGCGGCCGCGGGGCCCGGCGGCTCTGCTCCCCGCAGCTCACCGACTACACACATGAGTGACCCTGGGAGGAGGAGGAGGAGGAGGAGGAGGAGGAGGAGGAGGAGGAGGACGAGGAGGAGGAGGAGGAGGAGAAGGAGGAGGTAAGAGTGACCTTTGCTGCGCGACTTTTTGGGGGGCCGCGGGGGGACCAACCACAGGCGCGCAAGACGCTGCCGTCGCATCTCGTGCGGCGATGGGCGGGACCCCGGTGGGCCCGCACCAAAGGTCGCTCCGGCGAAGGGTCCCTCCTACGCGCAGCCGAGGCTCCTCGAGGTCCTCCGGCGGCGCCCGGCGCATCTCGCCCAGAGAGGCGCCGTCGGGCTGCAGGCTGCGCCTGCGGGCAGGAGGGGGCAGGCGCCACGATAGCCTCGGCCAGGACAGTAAGGATGCGCGGCACAGTCGGCCTTGATTGGACAGGACACGCGAGAGGGCACAAGACCCTTGCAAGGGCCACATCGCCGTATGAGTGTAAGAAGGCACGTGTCGCGAGGCACAGGACAAAAGGGTACCCTTGAGCTGGCAGGGTCGACCTACCAATCTGGTCCGACTGTAAGAATGCGAGGGCCTTCGAACGCCATTTTGACGTGTTCCGTGCGGAGCGTGGCAGGATGCCGGAGGATGCCGGATACCGAAGGGGCAAGGCTGCAAGGGTGGCCTTGGAAAGGTGCCCCATCCTCACTATCATGGTTGACTGTAGCTCCTCTGGGTTCCTCGATAAGCGTGGAGGGTACCCCCCCGACGGGGGTCAACCTCGCCTCGTCGTCGCGCCGCGGCGGTGGTCGGAGCGTCTTCGGCGCGCGGTGGCTGCCCGCGACGGGGGTCGATGTGGGGCTGTCGGCGGGGGTGACGCCACCCCGACGCTTGTTAAGAAACTCGGAGAAAGTCGGGCGTGTCCTCCTACAGGCGGCTTTGGAACGAAACATGAAACATGGCCAAACATGTACTCCAAAAGAGGGACATGAGCACGAGGAGTCGTCCCTGGACTACTTTTTCTACCACCCTTGAGCATTCCTCCTGTAGAGGGACAAGCCCGACTTGACATCATAGCCCAGGGGCAAGACACAGCAGAAGCATCAACTCTCGAGGCCCCGCGCGGATTTGTCTCGGAGATCGGCGCAAAGGGGCCCCTGTTATGCGCCTCCACGGCGCCGACCCTGGCGCGCTCCGCGCTCCAGGGGGGGGGGCGGGGGGCCGCGCAGCTCCGAGCAATCCGCGCGCAGCTCCAATAATTTATGGCCACTTCAGGCTTCGTAACAAAAAGGAGGGGGTCACAACCCTCCCAGACGAGCAGTTCTAGACCCCCCCAGACCATCCATGACAGAGCGGCCCTTTGCCCATACCCCCCCCAGAACCCTCCACGACAGCTCAAATCAGACCCCCCCAATGTGACCCCCCCGCCACTTGATCGTGGAATCCGGAGTATGCCATCGCTTCTTTTTCGATATCGGAGAGCCTCCTGTCCGTCTGTGCCGCCACCGCCTCGGCGGCGCCGGCCGTGTCGTTCGCCTTCCTCCCCCGTGCCGCTGCGTGAGCTGGCCGACCCTGCGGGTCCACTCAATCTGAAGGCCGTGCCGTTCCATGCGCTGCCCGTGCTGTGGCGTGGGCTACCCGCGCCTGCGGGCCCGCCCCATCGGAAGGCCAGCTCCGCGTCGCCGCGCGAGCCGGAGGGCAACGCGAGCGGCGGCACCAAAAGCCCGCCCGAGCCCCTGGCCAGCGGCCGCCGCAGGGCGAAGCTGGCTCAGCAGCAGCAGCAGCAGCAGCAAATGCCACGCAGGATCCGCTTCTCATGGAGCCACCAAACAGTCAAGAGAATCGCCACGAGGATCGTCTCCGAGCAGCCATCGGCTCGAGGACTTCTCATCCCGCCTTTCGAGCCACGGCGGCCACGGAGGATAGAGAGGGGGAAGCTGCGCAAAGTGCGCCCGCCACCGCGCCAACGAGGGAGAAGGTCCGTGAAAGGGGATATCGGGGACACTCGGCAACGACCTGCTGGCAACACGGGAGCAGTTTCGCCTGGAAGGCCTCTACCAGTCGGGGGGCGCGCCGTCCTTCCTGGCGCTCCGGAGGTAGCAGCCGCAACCCACTGGCCCAGCACCTGTTGCACCTGGCCCCCCAGGCTGTCCCCCGGACACGTCGCTTCTTCCAACCTGGCCCGCTCCTGGACGGTCCTGGAAGCCGGCGAACAAGGGAGGCCCGATCACGGCCGAGAGAAGCGGGGAGAGCCACCTCCTCCAGGACCCGGCGTCTTCCTGGCGGCCCGTGCCGCTTGATGACCCCGTGGCCACGCCCAGCCAGATCGTCTGTCTGCCCCCGCGTTTCTGGCACCCTCCGCCTCCTCCTCCCCCTCCCCATCCTCCTCCCCCTCCTCCTCCTCCTCCTCCTCCTCCTCCTCCTCCTCCTCCTCCTCCTCTCCTCCTCCCTCCTCCTCCTCCTCCCCTCCCCCTCGCATGCCCTCCACACGACTACACACCATCACTACTATACTCTCCTCCCTCCGCTGCCTGCGTGCGGGAGATACCCGGCCATCACCACGCCATGTTGCTTACGCACCGGATGTGCAAAGCCTTGTGTTCCCTATGAGGAGAGCTGCACTCCGACTGCTCCCGGTCCCTCAAAATGCTGCTCCCGCCGCAGCGCTGGCCTCATTCTGCCGTCGGCGCGCGGCCCCCGTCGTTCCGACGGCCCCAGCGCGGGCCACTTTTCTGGACCCGAACGCTCCCTCATCGCTGCCGCCCCCCTCCTTTTCCCCTCCTGCGCCGTCCCCTGACCTTCCTCCTCCTCCTCCTCCTCCTCCTCCTCCTCCTCCTCCTCCTCCTCCCCGCTCTTTCCACACCAACTCCCGCTGCTGCGGCGTGTCCTCGCTCTCCTGCTCCTTCATCATCCGCCTTTTGCTCCTCCTCCCCATCGTCCTGCGCATCCGCCACCTCCTCATCATCTTCCTTCCCCGGCTATGTGCGCAGCTCCGCTATTCATATTGCGCAGGAGACGATTGGGGTCTTTGTGACGGCTCCAGGTCCGCTATTACACGCGTCCGCGGGTAGAAAACACAGAGGGGTAGGATGTCAGATGTGGCACGAGCGCAGCTAGCTTGGCACTCTCATCTCTCCTCTCCTCTCTCCTCTTGTTCCTCCTCCACCTGATCGTCCTCATCCTCATGCCCCGTCTCGTTCTCCACCTCCTTCTCCTCCTCTTCCTCCTCCTCCTCCCTCTCCTCCTCCTCCTCCTCCTCCTCCTCCTCCTCCTCCTCCTCCTCCTCCTCCTCCCCTCCTCCTCCTCCTCCTCCTCCCCTCCCCCCTCCATCTCCTTCTGCTTTCAATGTGTCGTCCATTCTTCTCTCCTCCTCCACCTCCTCCGCCTACTCCTCGTCCATCTCGCCCTCCGCCTCTGCCGCTCTGTCCCCAGCCTCCTTCATCTTCTTCTTCTTCTCCTCCTCCTCCTCCTCCTCCTCCTCCTCTCATCATCATCATCATCATCATCATCATCATCATCATCATCATCATCATCATCATCACCATCATCCAATCATCATCATCATCATCATCATCATCACATCATCATCATCATCATCATCATCAGTATCAGTATCAGTATCATCATCATCATCATCATCATCATCATCATCATCATCATCATCATCATCATCATCATCATCATCATCATCATCATCATCATCATCATCATCAAAAATCATCATCATCATCGTCATCATCCTCATCAGCATCAGCATCAGCATCAGCATTAGCATCATCATAATCATCATCATCATCACCACCACCATCATCATCATCAGCATCATCATCATCATCAACATCAACATCAACAACATCATCATCATCATCATCATCATCATCAGCATCAGCATCATCATCATCATCATCATCATCATCATCATCATCATCATCACCATCATCATCATCCTTCTCCCCCTCCTACTCCTCCTCCTCCTCCTCCTCCTCCTCCTTCTCCTCCTCCTCTTCCTCCCCCTCCTTCTCCTCCTCCTCCTCTTCTCCTCTTTTCCCTCCTCCTCGCTGTCCCCTCCTGCTCCTCACACTCATCCACCTTCATCCACCCTTCCCCCATCCAATGATCCCCCACCCTCCCCCTCTCGCTCATCCACCCACTCTCCACAAATGACCATGATGAGAACCACTCTCCACTCTCCTGTCGTCTCCGACCGACGACGCGCCAACGTGCGTGCCCGCCCGTCCCCCGCGTGGCCTTTCAGGCACGGGGTCACAGAGATGACGCCTCGCGTGCCCTTCCCGCTCGGATCGTCACGCGCAGCCTCCGGAGGGCGACAGCGCCTCGCTGTTTCTGAGCACCGCTGATCCGATGCCGATCCCCACTGGCGTGGCCTGGGCCCCCACTGGCCGAATTACCTCCCCAGATGAGCATGCAGGCTGTTCCGTTCGGGCTTCTGGAGGTCCAACCCAAGATTGGGGTGGTGGGCTGAGATGCCATGGCCCAGTGGGGATGGGAATAGGTGGGAACGGGGCATATACTTTTATATATGTATATATATATATAAACATTTGTGTATATGTATACATATATATATATATATACATTGCGCCCTGACCCGTGGGGCTTGGCAGACATGCCACAGGACAACTCTGGCCGGTTCTCCGGGCGACGGATGTTGAACTATACAGATTTACACCGTGTGTGGGCCAATAGTTGCCACCAAGTGATGGACAAGCATAACACAATGTGGTGGAAATGCTCCTGGGCCCGAACGGGCTAACCGGTGCTGAGTGTCCGAGCCCGCACCGTCCCCAGTCACACGCCCCTGCCGCGCGCAGCCGACGCCCCGACCGCGCGGCGCGGGACACGGGCTCGGCGCCGTCGTCGCCGCTCGTCGCCGTCTTCGTCTCGCCGGCCGCTCGTCCACCGCGCTCGGCCGGCCCGCAAGTGCGCGGCCATGGACATCTCTTCGCCGCTCGTGTCACCACCCCGACCGCCGGAGGCAAGAGCCCACGGACCCTCAGACGGGGAAACCAAGAGGTACCGACACCGCCACTCCACGGACCTCCTCCTGGGGCGCGCCCCGACCAGCATTCCGAAGAGGATCCAGCCATGGCGGCGGGGGGCTGTCCAGGACCAGCAGCGGCATCGGTACCTTTCCTCGCTATCGCTCGGACGTCCATTCCCTGTGCAGTTTTCGACTTCGTGTGTTTCATCTGCTTTTTTGGCTCGACGATCCAGGATGCTCCTCGCCGAGAATTAGAAGTGCACACGGCCGAGCGGTGTTCCTCCTCTGATCCGGCACGCCTCCCGCGGCGGCCCGGCGGCCCGCGGCAGAGGCGGGGGGCAAGGGCGGGGAGGAGGCGGAGGGGGAGGAGGAGCCCGCCGCGTGCGCCGCTCCTGGTCGGAGCACCGCCGCCAGCCCAGGGAGGACGCGACCCTCGTGCACGATCTGCTCTCCTGCCGCCAGCGACGCGGAGGAGGACGACGACGGCGAGGACGACGCGCACCGAGGGGGGAGCGATCGACGAGACGACCAGGGTTAGGTCGGGCATGTCCTCTTACAGGCGGATTCTGGGAGACAAATAGAAAGTTGACGGACAATAATAAAAAATGATCAAGCATAGTAGAACAATCGTCCCCATACTACTTTGTTGGGGGACTCTTTTTGCACACTCCTCCTGTAGAGGGACAAGCCCGACTTAAGACCAGGGGAAAGGACACCTGGGGCTGCCAGAGCTGCCAAGGCGGCGGCGAAGCGCGCTGCCTGCGCGCACTGCCTGCTCTGCTCCGCCGGCAGCGCCAGCAGCGCTGGGGGGGGGACGCCGAGCAGCCCCGAAGGGCAGCGGCCCCGGGCACGCTCGCGTTGTGGAGCAACAATCACGGCGGGAGAAAGGTTTTCGTCCTCCTCCTCCTCCTCCTCCTCCTCATCCTCCCCTCCTCCACCTCCTCTCAAGCACGAGGGGCCCGAGCCCCGTAGTACCATCTTTTGGCTCTATTGGGCTCGCTGCTCCCGCCCAGTGCCTTCCCGTGGCGCTTGAGGGGCACGCCTCACGACTGGAGTTCTGCGGTTTTCGTTGGCTTCTATCTGGTAGGCGTTGGCAAGATCTGGGCAAATTTGTTCGTTTTCGTGGGCGACCTGTTCTTCCAGCTCGGGGCCTCCGGTAAGTGGGGGATGAGCCTGGAGTGGCTAGCATTCCCCGCCGTGCGGGACGAGCCCTGGAGCGGCTAGCATTCCCCGCCGTGGTATGCAGTGGCGGCCTATGTCTGTTTGTAAATCGTTGAGTTTTGGCGGTGGTCTCGGCTTTTATGCTTCATCGTCTATTTCTCACGCGTCTACTGCATGGGATCAGCCAGCTGCTATTGAGTGCCGTGGTATCCATCGTCTGGGTTGCCTGCAGTTGGTGGTTTCCTCGTGCATTTCACGCTCGCCATGGGTTTTGTGCTCAGTCTCTGTCTGCGGGACGAGCCCTGGTGAGGCTAGCATTCCCCGCCGTGGTAGCAGTGGTGGTCTTTGTCGCCAGGTAATTCGAGGAGTTTTGGCAGTGGTGGCTATTCCTCTGCCTCACTTTCATTTCTCAGGCATATGCTGGGCGGGCCCTGCTGCTATTTGATTCAAGTTCCTCGTTTCTGTTTTGGTTGTTTGCTTTTCACTCGCTTGAGTCTCGCCGTAGTGCCAATGCACCAGCTTCGGTGATTGCCACAGCAGTACGGTTTGTGTGGGTGCCATTTGTTTTGTCGCGTGCGACGGGCGGGTGGCCACTCCGCTGGGCTGATATTCGTGGGGCGCGGTGGGCGTGCGGTGCTGGGCGTGCTTGGCTTAACAATACCGTGCTGTGTTGGGTACATGCGGCGGCCAACCGCTACAGACGGCGTCAAATTCGTCTCCTCGGGTGTCTTCTTGGCGGGCAGGCGCGAGGGCCTCAAGGTGTTCGTGTGAGTCGGGCAGGCAACCTTCTCTCTATCTTTGATTTGTATGACTACGTCGTTGATCCCATTCCCATTCCCATTCCCTCCCCCACCTCCTCCCCTCCTCCTCCTCCTCCTTTCGCCCGGGCTCGGCCAGGGCCCCGTCAACCTGGACCCGCCAGACCAGGACATCAAGCATCCCTCGAAACCAAGGGTTGCCAGACGGCGGCACGAAAACGAAAAAGACTGCACTGCAACATTCCCAAAGGCCGCAAACACCTGCACAATTCCCCCCCGATTCCCGGAATCAGCCCGGGCAAAGGCCGCAAGAACCTGCAAAGCTCCCCCACCCCTAACCTTGGACAAAGGCCGGAATCTCGCAATGCAGCCCCCATGAGTACAATGGGCCACCAAATCTGCCTCTGCTGGAAATTGTATGGCTTCCTCGATTTAACCAGCGTCCTGGTTAGTCTGTGTCCTAGTTTCTGGGGGCCAGGTTCGGTCCTGATGGTTAGGTCGGGCATGTCCTCCTACAGGCGGATTTTGGACGAAAAATAAAACAAGTATTCAAAACATATTCAAAAATAGCCGAACATAGTATAAAAGTCGTCCCCCGATCATGTTTATCTATGTTTGAAAATTCCTCCTGTGGAGGGGCACGCCCGACTTAACCTTGTGGGGCCCTCGCCAGGCCCCAGAGCAGCGAAACAGCGGATCGGGGCGAAACGCTGGCCCCGGGGAACCACGCCTCGGGCTGACAGCCGCAACTTTTGAACATGTAGAGGCGTCTTATGTCCATGCCGTGGGGGGATGCGAGAAGGACCGCCGCGACTCCGAGGGGGAACCAGAGGAACAGCAGGAGAGCCCAGCATCGAAGCGACATATCGAATCGGCGATCGAAGTGAATCGAAGCGGCGGAAGTCGGCCGCCGAGGCGGGAAAAGTCGAAGCGGCGGAGATCGGCAGGCTGGTAATTAGGCCTCCGCCGAGAAGTCGGAGCCCGAGTCGGAACCCAGGGTCGGATCGAATCGGACTCGGAAGCCATCGACATCGAATCGCAGCGAACCGGAGGAATCGGAACGAGCCCTGGAGAGGGGGACCCGGGAACGGCAGGGGGGGGTGCGGCAGGAGCGGCCCCTGGCGCGCGCTCTGCCGAGCGTCGCGTGCTGTGCCACGGGTGGCGGCTTGCGCGTGCTCTGGTGTGGCCCCCCCCCCCGCGCCTCCCCCAAAACTTGAAGAGGGACCGACCGACCCGGCATGTCTATAGGCCTACCGCGAAGCGCTCTTAGAACCGAAAGCTGTTTTAAGAACACAAGCAATGTTCTGAGAACTTAAACCCAATGTGTTAAACCAAGACAGCCCCAGTCAGAAATGTTTTGAAAACATTTCGTGGAAACCACAAAAGGCTCTTAGAACACTGTTTGGTAGGCCTGTAGGCACGCCAGGACGCTTCGTCACTGCTTGACAGCCGCCCGCGCACCCAGGGCCACCCCGGCGAAGGGCCACACTCCTGAACTGCAGCCGACGCAAGGCGACTTTAGAGGGCACCAGCTAGGGGGGGGGAAGCACCGACTACGAAGCGACGCTGCACCGCCTGTGAATCGGCGAGAGGCCCCCGATGGGGAACCCCCTCTGGTAGGCCTGTTTGCCACCACGGACACCATAAGTTGGAGGGGGAGGGGGTCCTCCTCCTCCTCCTCCTCCTCCTCCTCCTCCTCCTCCTCCTCCTCCTCCTCCTCCTCTTCCTCCTCCTCCTCCTTCCCCCCTCTAACTTTATGGCGGTGGTGGTGGAAAACAGGCCCATCACCCTTGCTCCTGGATGCAGGTTGGGCCAGCCGGACCCCGATCGGAGGGTGGCGCGCCCGCAAGGGGTGCGCACACGGAGAGCACGGGCACGACGCCCAACAGCAAACGCTGAACAACACCGACAGCGGCCGCTGTCGAGCAGGTAGCGCTGTGTCTCAAATGGACAGCGTCCGCGGCGACACCCACCGCAAATCCCATCCATAATGGACGAGAACGGCTGCTGATCCTCGCCCCAATTCTTGCCGTACCGATTTCGATGGTGCCGAGTGGCTTCTTCTCTCCCCAGTCGGGGATCTTCAGATCAGGGTCAATCCAAACCCGGGTCAGTCAGGCTTTGCAGAAGCCTGCACGATCCTGGGCCCCGGGGTGGAGTCGGTGCCCCCCCCCTGGCACCGACCGCAAGGTTTCGAAGTCGGGCCCGTCTCCCTCTACAGGAGGCAGATTCCAAAACAGGAAAGAAACAACAAAAAATGTCAGGGGACGATGTTGTTCTTACAAATTTTGGCTGTTTGGAGGTATGTTGTTTTTGTTTGTTGACTATTTCCTATGTTTCGTCCAAGATCCGCCTGTAGGGGGACATGCCTGACCTCAAGCAAGTTCTGAGCAGCCTCTTGGTGCCGACAGCAGCTTCTGCAAGTTTGGGGCCTGGAAACTGGCCCGACACCACCAACACGTGAGGCAGCCTCCTCGGGGTGAACAACATGCTCCTGAATGTTGGCGTTGGTGGCGAGCTCTCGGCTACCTGAGAGGCCCGAGTACCACCATGGTAATCATTACCGACATCAGGATCATCTTCCCTCTGTAGTCGGTAAGGGCTTCACGACTTCTGCCGTCCTTCGACTCGCGCTGGAGAGGCTACGGTTTGCTCCAGGTTCCCTGGAAATCTTTGGATTTGCCTAGATTGACATCGATCCACCTGAATTGACTTGGATTCATCTCACCTTGTACAAACTGAATTGCCTGCATTCGTATGGTCTGATCCCCACATGTTGATTCAGGAAATGTCGCCAAGCCGTCAGGGAGGTGGAGGCAAGCGCCGATACCGGTGTTGGTGTCAACCTCCGGGCCTCCGAGCAAGCGCGAGCCATAAGCACAACTATATCAGTTGTTGTCCCAGTCGCGAGGCCAGTATCGGGCCGCACTGGTCTGCGAACTGCCTGCGCATGCAGCAAGGAAGAAGAGGAGGAGGAGGAGGAGGAGAAAAGAGGAGGCCGGCGCGGATTTCTCGGATCCGCGCTGTCGAGCGCGCCGGGGGCGGCGCGCTCCAGGCGCTGCCGCGGGGGCCCCAGGCGCGGATGCGAGACATCTGCGTGGACCTCCGAGTTTTTTTGTTTGCGCCTAGCTACTAGGGGGAAGACAAACCTACCCCGCTTTTGACCACCCTCGCTTCCAGGAGACACCAAACGATGCCAAACTGCGGCCTGCACTGGTCAGGCCGCTTGACGAGGAGGCGCGTGGTATGACTTGGCTTTGCCTGGAAGCGAAAGCGGGGAAGGTAATTCACGCTCTGAGTTACATCCTGCGAAATGCTTAAGAAATCATGGGCTAAGAAATTCACAGTCTCAGAAATTGAAAAAAACCCAACATTTCCATTAAAATCTTAAGATTTAGATTGAAACGTTAAGCATAATCGAGACTCTGGCCGAAAACTTAAGTTTTCTTGAGCATCGCCTAAGGTGTACATCATGCCTCGCTCCCCCAGCGAGGGGAAGAGCCGAGCCAGGACTCCGCCGAGGGGGACGGGGGCCCTCGCTGCCGACGCGCTCGACCCGCGGGAGGGGGCCCTGGTCCCCGCGCGCCCTCCGGGGAGCAGCGCGCGAGCGCGCGCGGCGCCCCCTGCCTGGCCGTCGGGCCCCCCTTGGGTCGGGTCGGGCGAAAGGGGGGGATAGCAAAGGGGGGGTTTGAGAATCAGCTCACGTAGCTGATTTTCCCGGCGCCTCCCGGCGCCGGGAGGCGCCCATGTATCGAGGAATGGGCCCCTCGGTGAGGCCGAAACCAGCTGCATGCAGCAAATTTCGTAACCCCCCCTTTCCCAATCCCCCCCTTTCGCCCGACCCGATTGGGGGACCTCGCCGGGCCTCGGGACCGTCAACAAAGCGGCTCAGGATGGAAAGCCGGTCCTGGGGAAGGGGTCCAGACTTCTGGGGGGCGGCGTCGTGCAGGAATCATGACGTCCGGGGTCTGGGAAGAGGGGGGCGTCCAAGAGGGGGGGGGGGGGCGCAAATCGTGGCCGGCGGCACGTGCGCGGCCAGGGGCGAGGGGGGGCGGACGCATGGAAAGAAGAAGAAGAGGCGCCATGAGATCTGGGGAGACAACGTGGCCCCCGCCATGAGATCCAAACCCCCCCCCAAGTGGTCACCCCGATGGGCCTGTATTCCACCACCACCACCACCACAAGCT